TAGGTCTTAACTTTGCAGTGGCACAAAATGCAAGCAGTGAGTGCGTATCTACTCAGGACAGCAAGTAAAAACATTTCTAGGGATAAGGAGTATTTTCAAGAAATCTTTACTGAGAGAAAAGGAAATGGAAAATACCAAAAGATGTGTGAATGTGTAATGTAGTTTTACTGCAAGTTCCTGAGTACTGAAATATGCTATAATTAATAGTAAATTAATTTACAGATTAATTTGGTTTAAATTAGTAATTGTGGTTAGTAGAAATTCAGCTTGACAGGATGATAGCACAGCTGGAGGTATAGCTGAAGGTACAACAGCTAAAGCACTAATAAATATTTTCATTAAATGCATTATTCATTCATTGACTAAAACATTATATGTTTTACCTGGGATTATGAAAACATTTTCTAACTAATAATTCCACCTCATAAAATATGCAAATTAATAGGCAGAGGCAGATGGAAGTTACATGGGATACTCAGTGAGGTCATGACACAGTCAGAAATAATACTAAGTGGGCTAGTCCTAATTCTAACCACAAGTCTGTGTATTGGGTTTTATAGGCTTTTTGAGTCAATAAAGACCGTGAATGCTTTTCTTTCTGCAGAGCCGCCTCACATCAACGGTTCGGATCGACCGGAGGAGCTCTCTGTCGTCGTTAACAACCCTCTTGAACTTCTCTGCGCCTCTTCTGGCATTCCGGTCCCCAAACTATCATGGATGAAGGATGGGCGCCCGCTTCTGCAGAGTAATAATGTTCATGTCCTAAGAGAGTCCCTTCGAATAACCAGTGCTCAGGTAAAGTATTTGTTTCAGCACAGGCCCGTTTTGCAAACCCTAGAGCCGTGCACAGAACTGCCTGCTATTAGAACCGTCCTAGGAAATGTGCTAAAAGGGCTCGATAAAATCATCCACCTGCATTTGCAGTTGGAGAATGTATTGTAAAGCCTTGCCTTAGAGTTTCCCTTACAGAACAAGCAGTAGTATTATGGGGTTGAGAGTGCCCAAGCACTTCTGCCTCTTATGAGCATTATTGCATCAAGTTCATTTCAGAATTCTGTCAATTTTTCATTTATTGATGCTTCTTGTTGTAAAGAAGCACCTCTCCTATGACGAAAGGCTGCAAGAATTGGGCTTGTTCAGCCTGGAGAAGAGGAGGCTCCGAGGAGACCTCCTTGCAGCTTTCCACTATCTGAAGGGGGCCTACAAGGGTGCTGGGAGAGGACTTTTTACAAGGGCCTGTAGTGACAGGACAAGGGGTAATGGGTATAAATTGAAATCAGGGCGGTTTAGATTAGATGTCAGGAAGAAGTTCTTCCCAGAGAGGGTGGTGAGGCACTGGCACAGGTTGCCCAGAGATGTTGTGGATGCCCCATCCCTGGAAGTGTTCAAGGCCAGGCTGGATGTGGCTTTGAGCAACCTGGTCTAGTGCAAGGTGTCCCTGCCCATGGCAGGGGGGTTGGAACTGGATGATCTTTAAGGTCCCTTCCAACCCAAACCATTCTGTGATTCTATGAAAGCAGACAGTCAGTGCTAGGGACTCATCTTTTTCTGGGGTTCTTTCTGGTTTCAGCCTGTGTCTGTAATCTGTTCTTGTTCATTTCCTGCCTGTTTGACTCTTGTTACTCTCTCTTGCTTTTCTTCTTTTGTGTTTTGTAGGTCCTCCTCAGCCTTTCTTCTCTTTCCGTTAGCTCAGGTTTTCCTAATATCTATTTGCTTCTTGCATGAATAAGCCATAGATTATGGAGAAAAGCTGCATTTGCAGTCATCTGTGTGCAAGTTAAAAAATAATAAAAGCCAATAGAAAGAGTTTCAGATGAATTCAGACAATTTTATAAAAGAGACCAGGGAAAAATAACCTTTAAAAACCTGCACCAGTGAACTCGGGCTGCATTCAGCTGTGCACAGCCAGACTGAAGTTCACCAAACAGAGCTGGCTGTTCAGGGCTGGGGTCTGAATGCTGCTCGTTTTGTCTGGAAAGCAAACACTCCATGTCTTCACAGTGCCGAGTTCAGGGGAAGGAGGAAGCATAAAGATGTTAATGATTAAGCGCACACAAAAAGATTTCCCTAGTACCCAGACCTGACCCTCGCTTAGATCGATACCTATAGCCACGTTCGTCTTTATCGATTACCTCTTGCAGAAAACATCACAGAGAGGGGTTCTTGCTAGAGACACGTTATGCAGAGAGATTTTATGGGTCCTGCAACTCCAAAGCCATCTCTGTACAATCCCACAGTGGTAAAATAAAGAAGTTTTCAAGAACTTTATTCATTTATTTTCAGGCATTCCTTGTCTGTTGTGTTTAAGTGCTGCCTGTTATAAATTGTTGTCAGAGTTGGCATTTCACAGGTTTTCTGATTTATTCCCACATTCTGAGGTTTCTGCTGAATTTGTTTGTGTGTTTCTAGGTGGAGGACACAGGAAGATATACGTGTTTGGCATCGAGCCCAGCAGGAGATGATGATAAGGAATATTTAGTAAGAGTGCATGGTAAGTTTAATTGAGGGAAAAAAAAATCAGTCCTTCAAACCATAAACTACTAAGGTATGTATCAGTAGTATCTCATTTAACAAGTTACATAGTATTAAAGAAGAAATATTATGTGTTTGAAAAAGTGATATTATTTCATATGAAATATGAAACTAACATTTCTGAATAAGTGTAATTATTCTGAACACGATACACAATGAAAAGGGAAAGTTCCAGCAGATGCAACTGCTGTTGTAATTCCAAGTCTTACATTTTGAAAGCCTAGGAAGGCTATAGATATCAGTATTCTGTTAGACTGAGTTTATTGTGCTTATTGAAAAAGGATGTGAAGTACACCGATATCTATGATTATCTTGATTTTTCAGTAGAAAAAGGTAAGAAATGTATTTGGAAGTGAATACATGAGGTGTAATGACTGTAAAGGAAGTATAAATGGGACTTCTGGAGCTCTATAATATGCCTTGGGTTTCTTCTTGAAGCTTATAACTTCACTGTTTAGTGATGAACAGTTTATGGAACTTGGGTGATCTCTGCCCTGTCTGGTTTACATGCTGGTACCCTTCCTGGGAATCGACTTGAAATGAATTTCTCTCACAGTAGTTTCTAGTGTGTGACTTAGGAAGCAGGTTCACCACTTAAACAAATGCGATATAGTTAACACAGGTATTGAAAAGCATTGATTTTAAACTTAAGAAATAAATTGGAAGTTTTCAGTGAATCACTTTAACAGTAGCTCCTATGTGTGGTGTTTATTTTGTTCTTCATTTTTGTAACAGTTCCTCCCAACATTGCTGGTACCGGTGGTCCACAGGACCTTACCGTCTTGCAGAACAGACAAGTCCTACTGGAATGCAAGTCAGATGCTGTGCCACCTCCGACGATCTCATGGCTTAAAAATGGAGAACTTCTAGAGGTATATTGGTTACATTATTTGTACTAGTCTTTTGCTCCCTTTAATTTTTTGCCCACAGGGCTTGAGGTTTCTTATTCTGCTCACTTGCCCCTTCAGTGCAGTCCCAGTTATGGTGCCTTGAATTCCAGAGAAGCTGAGTAGCCCCAGTACAAATACAGTTAGCCCTGAATGAGTACCTGAAGCTAGCAAGCATGTGAAGTGGCCACCCCGCTGTTACTTGTTCTTTTTTCCTTTAGGGGGATCCCTTGCTCCTCCTGGATCCTCTGAACAATGCTAGAAGCCTTCGGTATACTCCTGAATGGCTTCCCAGGAAAGGTAGCTGAGAAAAGACTACACTATATGTTTCCTTTGGGTATATTATGCATCCTCATATTCTAGTAGCATTTAGAAAGGAAATAAAATTCTTTATGTTGGGGAAAAAAGAAAAAAGAAAAGCAAATGGGTTGCTAATCACCACAGTTTTATATCAAATGCATCTTTTTCATTCCATCTAGTGTCATGTTAAGGCATCAAGTCTTTGCTGGTTGAGACAACTGGCAAGATGAGGATGGTTTACACAGAAAGAGTTTTTACTTCCCATCTAATCTTGGGATCACTTAGAAACCAGGTGCTTTCCATCAATCAACTGAAGTTCAGTCATTAATTGAACTTAAATTAATTGCTGATTTTCCCTCAATTGATCTTTATTCATTAATAAAGAGGAAACAAATTCAGCTGATGAACTGTCTCCTTAACTGTAGTTCATCCATAGTATCCACCTGAAGTTCTGCTTCTTTGCTTTCCTTCTGACATGCCATTCCTCAGTCTCTGTCTCTGTTGTAAATTTAGAAGACTGAAATGTTAGTGGAAGAAGGAAGAATATGTCTTGCTGACTGCTGCTGGGGAGTGTTACCTTGAACAGAGCACAAGAACTGCCTAGAAACAACAAGTGTAAGACACTTCTGAACAGGCAATCTCTTAACATTTATAACAGAGTAGGGAGTTACAATCTCTAGAGCCAGCTGTCCTCCAGCATGAAATTTCAGTTCTGAATTTAGCTCAGGCATGACACTCTTCATTTGGCACGTGTACTTTAAGTAGCAGACGTAGGTTTATTCTGTTCCCTTCTATCCTTTCCATTCTTCAGCTTAGCTTACATAAATACATACTCCAGATACGCAAGAACGTTAGTGTCCTCCTGAATGCCTGGTTGCTTTCTCAGCCTCAGAGAAATGTAATAGCCTACTACTTCTGAGCAGCTGGGAAAGAGCCCTCCTTGGGAGTGCAAAGAGAGGTGCTCTGTGACATGACCCTCCTTTTCTTGGAAAAACTGAGGTTTCACAGTGACAAGAGAGGACTGGAGAAACACAGGTTTTCAGGTTGCAGCGTTATTTCGATTTCAGTCATGAATGCTTTTTGTGAAACAGCCTTGTGATGGAGGGTGTGATTCCTCTTGGGTTTGCTGTTCCACTGTTGAGATGTTGAGGCTTACTCTAGACCTCAGTATGCCTAGTGATGTCCTTGTGCGGCGCCACCATTTTTGGTAGCAGACCTGCAGAAAGATCCAGCCTCCAGCAGCTTTGGAGTCCTTGCTCTCTTCACTGATTGGGAAGTACACATTGAGTGTTAACTAACAGGAGTATCTTGACCTAATATGGCTTTATTTAAACACTAGAAGAATTGCTGAGTTTGGGTTTTTTTCGAAGACGGGTTTCTGACATGCCTGCAGTAAAGCATAAGGATTAAATGAAACTTCATCTTTTGGATCGTTTTGTGTTTAGAAACCGTAGCACAGGCTATGTACTCAACAGGCAATAGCAGGTATTACCCAAAATCTGACTGTGATCCGCTCTGGTGGTGAAGAGTGTCACCTGAGGCTCCAGCACGGATGTGCATTCTGCGTTGGCAGACTCGCTGAGTTGGTGCCCGGTATGAGACCGGTGTGCTAGGGTACGAGTGCAGATCCGGAGGAGTTTCACCTGTCTGTCGCTGTTGCTATTCTCAGATCTTCTAACCCAAAGAGAGATGGGGCTGGCAGCTTTCAGTTTCACCCAAGGTGTGAATAGCACATGCGGGAAGAGTTTCTGTTCTTTTCCTACTGTTTTATATCCCTTGTAGTGGGTACTACTGGCAGTCACCCGTGCAGATGTGACGCAGACCAGGTGTGGTAGCAAAGCTTTGACTTCGAATGACCGCGTGGCAGGTGTGCTGGAGTCAGTGTAGAGCTGGGAAGGGTGGTACCCTTGCACCCAGAAATGCTCGCTAGTAAACGGAGCATGCTGGATCCCACCTGATCAAGACTGTGATGTTTGAAGAACAGTGTAGAGAAACTTGTATTATTTCTGCCTGTAATGTGCATGGATTTAAGATAAAAAAAAAAAAATCATGTGTTATTAGCTGCCCCTTTCCATAAAAACTCAAAAGCCCTTTGGTTCTGTACCCCAAAAAAAGTGTCTTCTTCAGGCACAGGTCCCAGTAATTGTTTCAAAGGGGAACCATTATGCAGTGCTAATTTTTTTAAACTTTGTTTACCCTATTATCTTCATGGACGTAAGCAAAGTTAAGCCAGCAGTTAATTCAATCCCCAGTTTCTCTTTGGCCTTCCTTCATGGCTTTTATTACTCTGCAACCAAAGAGTTTTCTATCGCCGTAAGGAGCACAATGGTAAGGTTAAACTTGTCAAACTCTCTTTCCCCTTAGGGAACTCCGCGAGTTCGGATCCTATCCAGTGGGCGATACCTGCAGATCAATAATGCTGACCTCAGCGATACAGCAACCTATATGTGTGTGGCAAGTAATATCGCAGGAGAAACGACCAGGGAGTTCGTGCTGACAGTACATGGTAAAATCGTGGATCCAGTCTTGTGCATCTTCATCTTTGCATGGTATTTCTGCAGGAGTTCACAGGGCAGGAAGAAAGCAGTAGTAGTCTCTTTCTAGCCAAGCATTGGCCACTGGGGCTGTGTCTGACCTCTGGGACCATGTGTATTACCTCGTGTGTGCCACCGTCTGAGTTCACAGTTGTCTCCTGCACTGAAGGATCTGTTATGGCACCCTCTCCGTAAAAGAAGCACATCCTCTCTGGCTGTGCTTTCTGCTGATGGAGGGTGCTGTGCGTCTAGCTGTCACCCTGATACGGAGTTAGGATACAGCCAGAAGGAATGCCTAGATCCAGGACTGAGAAACGCCCTTGGACAAATTCAGAACGATTCTTAAGTGCGTTTGACTGGTGGCAGTACTAGGTTTCATAGCTGGCTTGGCCACCGGTTTTGCAAGTTACTTGAAACCCTTTAAGCAGGATAGGGCTTGAAGGGTACCCATCTCAGTCCCTGTCCTGTGCTGCCACAGGCCTGAATTTAATTTTGGAACTTATTTTCTCACATCTGTGTGACACCGTTCTGTTCTCACGCTTGGGTGAGGATAAGAAACTTTTTTCCCATTTCTGTTCTGTTCACAACCCAGTCACGTGTACCTGCATTACACTGTGCCCCCACCAACACCTCTCCTTCGTTCTCCAATAAAAAAATCGTTTTTCTCCTTAATTTATAATCAGGAAGCAAGGATATCACCACAGCCCTACTTCGCTGAATTAAATATGCTGACCTGTTGTACTGTTTTAGCTATATGATAACCTTTGCAGTGACTTGCAAAGATGGTCTTTACAGTGCATGTCAGACAAACTTTCTTTTTCACTCCCTACTGCATCATGGCAATTACCACGCGCTGCGCAGAACGGTAAGAAACTAGTTTCTGTCTTTGCAGTGATGCCCGTGCCCGTTACTGCGTCTGTTTTCGCGTGTTTAGCTTAAGCCATTGCGGTGTAAAGTTTTTTTTCTTATGTCATCAGCGTTTTTTCTCATTATAGTGGCTCCTACAATCCGAAGCAGTCCTCAGACTGCTGTTGTGCGTATAAATGCTTCTGCTGTCCTGGAGTGTGCTGCAGAAGGAGTACCAACCCCGAGAATTACATGGAGGAAGGATGGGGCTATTCTTACTGGAAACAATACGAGGTATTGCCTAGAAGTTATAGCATAAATATTCTTCATTGGTTTTTTAAGAATGTAGTAATTACAGAAAGCTTAATTAGACATTAATGGCTTGTAAATTAGTTTTGTTTTCACAGGTCAGAACTAATATTTGTACTATCATCTTGAACTGACCCGAATGTGTACAATAGGGTGATAGAAACAAGGTGGTTCTACAGAAAAGTAGCAGTACCAAAGCTTTTATTCTCTTATTGTTACAAAGAACAAAAAGCTCCTTTGACAACCAAATGTAGGAGTAATACTTCTGCTATTAAAGATTTTGAACAGTAAACATGGAAGATCTTTTTATTTTTTATATGTATATGGAGTTTTGGAATGAAGCCAAGCTTTTTCATGCAGACCAAAAACTGCTTGACTGTACTCTGTAGTTTCTGATACACAGAAGTTTCTATACATGTTCTAGTATGAACTGTTATCGTAGTGAATGGTTTCTGTCTTCTGATTGTTTGAAGAGGAATTAGTTTGGCATTTTCTAGAACTGAGCAAATCCTAAAGAATTCAGTTACGTTTCAAAGAAAAAAAGCAAACGCAGAAGCATAGATCAGTTTTTTAAGGTTAAATGAGAAACCATAAAAAAAGGCTTTGGGATATTTTCTGCAAATCTGCCATCATTTATGTGGAATCACTATGTCAGCTAGATTTCATAATTTCTCTGGAAAATGGAATGTACCGGAAAAAAGTCAGAGTAAATGCAATAAATGAGAAAACTCTATGTGCCCAAATTAAGACGCCACGTGTTTAGGCTATTTGATGTGTGCCCTGAGTCATCTTTTCCTTCTGTGCTACCAGGATAGCCTATGGCTCTGTTGATTGGATAGTAGAAAAAAATACGTGTTTTTGTTTCAGATATTCCATGTTAGACGATGGGTCTCTACACATCCACTCGGCACATGTTACCGACACAGGAAGATACGTGTGTATGGCCACCAACTCAGCAGGCACTGAACGCAAACGAATTGATCTGCAGGTTCTTGGTACGTTTTGGGTTTGGATAAATACATGTGTTTTTACAAGTCTAAAGTCCAGTTACAACATTTTTCCTCTTTTGGCAGATCTGATTTTAAGTTTAGCCCTTTTATAGCTGCTCTGGTTTTAAAAAAAAAAAAAAGAGATAAAGAAATTTACGACCTTAGGAATACAACCTAAGTGTTCATTGAGAGAAAATATTTATTCCTGGTGCACTGGAGCTAGAAAGACCTGGCACATCCCATGCTACCAGCTTAGTAAGGTTACTAGTGTCAAGTTATTCTTGGCAGTACATGTCAAACAAAAATCAAGTCAGTGTATTCAGGCAGTTCAGCTCTCTATAGGTATGAGAGGGATGTGTGGGCCTATGTATATAATTATTCTGAATAATTAGGCTTTGTTTGTCCTTAGTTCCTCCAACTATTGCTCCTGGCCATACGAATATTACAGTTACTGTAAATGTGCAGACCACTTTGCCTTGTGAAACCACTGGAATTCCCAGACCAGCAATTAGCTGGAAGAAGAATGGGCATCTGCTTAGTATTGACCAGAACCAGAATACTTACAGGTGAAAGATGTTTTCTTTTCATGGTGGGTTTAAAGTTCTCAGGGCTGATTTTGGCACTTTAAAAATCTAGCCGTGCTTGTAATCACATATAGCCAGCAAATTCAGTGGTCTGATTACCTGAGCAGAAAAGAATTATTTCAAATGGCTTTTACTTTCTTCTCTTTCCTTTGTTCAGACTTCTGTCTTCGGGTTCCTTAGTAGTCATTTCTCCCACTGTGGATGACACTGCTGTCTATGAGTGCTCTGTGTCAAATGATGCAGGAGAAGATCAAAGAGCAGTTGAGCTCACTGTTCAAGGTAGAGGGGATATTGCTATTATATGTGTACAGCACCCAGAATTTCTCTGGGGCATTCCAATGTTGAGATAAGATTTTTATGTTGTTCTTTTGTGATATTGATGTCCGTGAGTCTCTGGTATTCACAAGAAAGTTAAGTTATTTTCAAGAATTCATTAAAAAAATGAAAATGGGCAAGTAACCTTTACATTGCTCTTAATTTTTAGTGCCCCCATCCATAGCAGATGAAGCCACAGACCTTGTGGTAACAAAGCTGTCTCCAGCAGTAATTTCCTGCACCGCGTCAGGGGTTCCTGTCCCCTCAATCCATTGGACCAAAAATGGCATAAGGTTGCTTCCCAGAGGAGATGGCTACAGAATTCTCTCTTCAGGTACTGTGTGTGACTGAACTCGGGTGCAGAAAATCAGTGAAAGGGTGCAATTGTGTGCACCTAAAAGGAAGTAATTAAATCAGTGCAAGCAATCCCCCAAACAACCCCTCCCTGATACCACAGAATCACTAAGGTTGGAAAAGCCCTCTAAGATCATCCAGTCCAGCCATCAACCCAACACTTCCGTAGAATAAACATGTAGACCTCTGAAGACCAGCGCTGTAAGAGGTTTCTAGCATGACTACAGGGTTCTGCCGTCTGTAACGCACTCTCTCCCTGCTGCAGGAGCTGTTGAAATACCTGCGGCCCAGCTAGCACATGCCGGGCGGTACAGCTGTGTGGCCCGGAACGCAGCCGGCGTGGCTCACAGACAGGCCACTCTTCACGTTCAGGGTAAGACGGGAAGCTGTAGAGAGAGTGCCTTCTGTCAGTAAACCTAGCCCAGTGAACACGTAGGCGTGCTGCAGGGTAACGGTGAGGCCCGGGTGGAGCATCACAAGCAGTGTCTGGCTCAGCCGAGTTGTCTGTGGACACACTGATCATTCAGTCACTACGCAGCATTACGACTCTGCCACCTTGGGTAGGGCCCCCCAGTCCATGCTGCTTTGTTTTGGTTTTGTAAGAGTTTTGTTTATTTGCTTTTTGGTAAATTAAAATGTATCTGTGGTGGCCAAATCCTATCCCCATGCTCATGCCAAGTAAGTTGTTAAGTTTAGGAGCATGTCCCACGTGCTCTTCGTAACAATGGCTGTGCCCTGCCATCCTTAGTCCAGCCTTCCCAGACTCGCAGGTTGTGTGATCCCAGGTTCTTCTGTATTTCCTAAACTTGAAGGTTAAGCCTATTGTATTTTCCTTTTTATTTTATTCCACAGAACCACCAGTTATCCAAACTCAGCCAGGAATGCTGGACGTCATTGTGAACAATCCCATTCTGCTACCGTGTGAAGCAACGGGTACACCTCGTCCCATAATAGCGTGGCAAAAGGAGGGCATCAATGTAATCACCACAGGTATCCTCTTGACGCCTCTAACTCCAGCCTACGGGCTGTAACTCAGACACCTATCTTCTCTTTTCTGAAGTTTCAAACTTGGATATAAGGGACACGCAACAAAAAAGTCTCAGACTTTGTTTATGTTTGTTTTAGGCAACAGTTACATGGTTCTTCCCAATGGCAGTTTACAGATTGCGAAATCAGCTGTTGAAGATGCTGGCACTTACATGTGTGTTGCTCAAAATCCAGCTGGCACTGCTCTGGGGAAGATCAAACTGAAAGTTCAAGGTAAATCATCTTTAACTCTTGTTGCAGTGATACACAGACAAAAAAATCTGTGGGTGCTCTCTGTTAGTCAAAACCCAATTGTGAGCAACAGAGACGGACCTAATGCTTTCCTGTTGGATCTGGAACTTAATAGAGCCCAGGACATTCACTCTCTTTCACAGTCTGCCTACTTTAGGATTAAAGTACGCTTTTAGGATTATTTTCCCTAACTGAAGCATTCTGTGCTTAGGGTTAGGGTTAGCATTCTGTGCTTCTTGCGACATAGAGTTCTTTTCTTATGTCTTTTTCAGTTCCTCCTGTTATTAAGTCCCACCTCAAGGAATACGTTGTTCCTGTTGATCAGTCCCTCACTCTGCAGTGCGAGGCTGAAGGCTACCCTGGGCCAGAGATCAGTTGGCACAAAGACGGCCAGCAAATAACGGAGTCCCTTCGGAGAAGAGTTCTCAGCAGCGGTGCGCTGCAGATCGCGTTGGCCCAGCCGGGGGATGCCGGCCGTTACACCTGCATAGCAGCGAACCCGGCAGGGTCCAGCAGCTCCAGCGCGGAGCTCGCCGTGCTCGGTATGTGGGACAGCACGGAAGCAGGGTGCGCTGCCGCAGCACGAACCTGCAGAGGGTACAGAGCAGGGGTGTAAGGGGAATGTTCAGGAAAACTGTGCTGCTTCTTGGGTGAGTTTTACTGGGTTGTAGTATTGGCATTTAGGAGGAACGTTACACTTCCTTGTCTGGGTTTATACTTTGTTAGAAGTGTGTCACATGTTTCTCTGGCATGCTCAGTGATGGAGACAAGCAGAAATACGGAAGGTGCAGACAGGGATTTCTGCAGGCCGCTCTCGCATGCTGTTACAGTAGGGCTGGGATAATACACGGACATAAATCTTTTTGTAAACCTCCTCACAGTTCCGCCCAGGATTCGCAGTGCAGAGGAGCAGTACACAGTCACGGAGGACTCCCAGGCTGTTCTGTCCTGTGTGGCCGAGGGGATTCCAACACCAACGATCCACTGGAAGAAGGACAATACGCTGCTAACGGAGATAGCAGGAAAATACCAGGCTGTGCCGGGTGGAGACCTCGTCTTGGACAATGTTGTTGTAAGTTCCTGGAGTCTAAGCTACAACTTGACAGGTTTGGCAGTAATAAGACCCTGCTTCTCTTTGCTTTCACCCACTTCTGGAATAGTCCTTTTTTTTTTTCTTTTTCTTGTTTTTAATGTTCCAAAGACTTTATAAACACTTAATTTTCCACTGAAGAGGAAAATCTGAAGAATTTGTAGTGCTGAATTCTCAGGAGGGGCAAAAAGAAGTGTAGTTCATTTTTCAGATTTAGAGGAGATGAAAGAGTTCAGATGAGCATTTCTGCTGAATGTTTGTCTCAAAACTTTTGAGATTCTCTTATTTTTACAAGTGGTAGCATTGTGTAGGGTATATCAGAGTTGAAATTTCTCCACCGTGCTTTCTTTCAGCCTGCAGATTCTGGCAGTTACACCTGTATCGCTAACAACACTGCTGGAGAGGACACTCGCACAGTCACCCTCATAGTTCATGTTCTCCCAGCATTTACTGAACTTCCGGGGGATACAGCTTTGACTAAAGGAGAGCAGCTCAGGTTAACTTGCAAAGCAACTGGGATACCTGTACCCAAAATAACGTGGACCTTTAACAATAACATTGTTCCAGGTGGGTAACACTGGGTCGTACTGGCCATTCTGCTCCAGAGCTGTTTTCCCCCGTGCAGCATTGCAATTAGTTTTGGATAAGGAATTAAAAAAAATAATCCAGAGGGAACCAACTTGTTAGGCAGTGATTGTGTGAGGAATATCTTCAGCGTTATGCAATCATGTAATTAAATTGCCTTGAGACAAAGCTGTAAGCAAGATAATTAAGAAATTGTCCCTATTCTGTAGGCAATAATGTAACACATTAAAAACATTCAGTATCAGGTGATACTTACTCAGCATCCAACAGCTAATGGGATTTCTCTGAAATACGAAGAAAACCTCAGCAGTTCATAGAATGCAGATGCACAAAGCTCAAAATTAAGGGACAGCTTAAGTAAATACATGCATATGGGCAATTGTCACAGCGGTGACTTTTCTGTGCGTTTCTGAGGGGTTTCAGAAATGAAATGGCACAGTGCCATTGCGCTCTGTGGCTGAATAGCACTGTAATTCAAACAGTCTTACTACACACCAGTCCCAAGATGTGTACATTTAAAGTTGCTGAAGTAAACCTTGGCTCTGCGTTCTCCTTTCAGCACAATACGATGATGTAAATGGACACAGTGAGCTTGTGATCGAAAGAGTATCTAAAGATGACTCTGGTACCTACGTGTGCACAGCAGAAAACGCAGTTGGCTCAATCAAAGCTATTGGGTTTGTCTATGTCAAAGGTAGGCAAAATAATGGTAGTTGTGGTCATTACTGGACAGTTTCACACAGCCATCTGTTTTGATAGTAGACTCAATGGTTAGGGTTGGAAAGGACCTTAAAGATCATCCGGTTCCACCCCCCCTGCCATGGGCAGGGACACCCTCCACTAGACCAGGTTGCTCCAAGCCTCATCCAGCCTGGCCTTGGACACTTCCAGGGATGGGGCATCCACAGCTTCTCTGGGCAACCTGTGCCAGTGCTTCCCCACCCTCTCTGGGAAGAATTTCTTCCTCACATCCAATCTCAGTCTCCCTCTTTCCATTTAAAACCATTACCCGTAGTATTTGATACCTTGTGCATGGCTAAATAGGAAAAAATGAGAACAGGTTGAAATTCACACTTCAGAAAGTCAGAGATGAATGATCCCTACCAGCAATTTCATTAAGGGCATTTCGTTTTGATTCTGCTATTTCTCTGCCATCACTTGGTTTTTCAGAACCTCCAGTCTTCAAAGGGGATTATCACTCTAGCCGAATTGAGCCCTTGGGTGGCAACGCTATGTTGAATTGTGAAGTGAGAGGAGACCCACCTCCAACCATCCAGTGGAGCAAAAGAGGAGTTGGTGTTCAGATTGGCAACAGGATCCGACAGCTGAACAACGGTTCTCTTGCGATCTACGGCACTGTCGTGAGTCACTGGTCTGTGCTGATGTGTTTCTGCGTTGTACTTGATTAATCAAGGCATTCCGGATCACGTTGTTTTGAAGGAGAGAGGCTAGGCATTTAATCCAGTTTTGCTTTTACATTTAAGAAATGTTGATTTTATTCAGACTAGAATTAGACTCAAATTATTGTGGCAAAAAAACCCCAGGGGGCTATCGTTCTGCTTTTTGTCCTTCAGAATGAAGATGCGGGTGACTACAAGTGTGTGGCTACCAACGATGCTGGTGTGGTGGAACGCAGTCTGACACTAACGCTTCAGAGTAAGACTCAAGGGGCTAAGCTTAGTGCCACTAGACTGGAGTGATAACCCACCTTTGGATATAGGTGTATGCTGCTCCCACTGAAGTTTAGGAGGCTGGACACAGCACTATAGGTTAAGATTCATCGGATCTTTCATCATTAATATTTTAGAATCTAGTCTAAGCTAGTGATTGAGAGCAGAGACGTGTACAGAGGGTGATCATCTTGGAAACCAACCTAGAATGGGGTTAATCGCCTTATGAAAGGGCCTGTTTCTCATAGCTGACTACAGAGGATGTCTGCTGGATTAAACTAGACTATTAACTGTTAAATTAAGAAAATTTTGTGAGATGAATCAAATCCCAGCATTCACTGACATTAGTTTATTTTTGGCAGAAATAATACTTTGGGATTGTTTTTTCTCTAGTGGTAGAATTTCTGATCATCCCTTTTCTATTAAAGCCTCAAGCAATAGCAGATCTGTTACTCATGTCTCAGCTGCCTCTGGACATGATTACTAGCATCTTCCTTCAGGCTTTATGAAAAGCTCCATGTTTTAGCAGTAAAGATGACCATGTCCTCATACAGTCAGGCCTCAATCCCAGCTTTGGTCCTCTGATTGCAACATAGTAAAAATAGCCTATCGTTGTCATTTTAATGTCCATATATTTTGACAGTGGAAGGTCAACAGTAATAACTTCAGTCAAAGTAAACCGACTTAAGATTGATTTTTTTGCCCTTGTTCTGGCCAGTCCTTCAATATTCAATACAAGGAGAAAAAGGTATCCGTGTGCTATTGCCTAACGAAACCGTTCTCTCCCAGGTCCTCCGGTCATTACTGTTGAACCTGTAGAGACGGTTACTGAAGCTGGTGCCACAGCAATGCTGAACTGCCAGGCACATGGAGAGCCTCCTCCAACCGTCACGTGGTCCCGCCAAGGTCGTCCAGTTGTGAGCGACGAGAGGGTGACTGTCCTGTCCAATGGCTCCTTGCGGATTGTTGCAGCCCAGAAGGAAGATACGTCTGAATATGAGTGTGTAGCGAGGAATCTGATGGGATCTGTTCTTGTTAGAGTATCACTGACTGTCCAGGGTAGGTGCACAAAACATCAGACAGTGACTGTCAAACTGGTAAATGACAGCATTAACTGAGATTAAATATGATCAAGATGTTATCTGTATTTCATGGATCTTATAGACTCACAGAATGGGTTAGGTTGGAAGG